AGTTATGGAATACTCTATTATCCAAGACATTGAAGATATACAAAAACGAGAAAATACAAGCTGGTATACAACAATTCTAAATTATCCAGTAAATAACAACTATATATTGACAAATATAGCTTTCAATATTAAAAAGTTTTTTATGCAGATTAGGTTAAATAAAAATGGAATAATTATAAATGACAAATATATAGATTATACCCAATCTAAATGTCCAAATTGTACGAAAAATTTATCTAAAATTCATATTTTATGTGAAAATTGTAACGAAAAGGATAAACTACAAAGACTCCAGATTGAACCACTGGCTAAATGTACTAGTGAGCTGGAAATGTACAAGACATTAGATAGAGCTGATATTAACACGATTTATATGATATATAACTATGTTAAACAACTAATTAAATAATAATTATGACAAAATATTAATATAATTATATAGATAAGTATATGGTAAATACTAATATTGTTAAAAAATTATTATATGAGATATTAATATGCGTTTCATCAAAATAAAATGCCTTTGTAACAGGCGAAAGCCTTCTACGCCAATAAAGATTACTTACTTAAAAAAAAAAAAATAATAATTATTGTTTCTTCTACATATAATATATTAAATATAAAAAATATAAAAATATTTGTTTTCTGAAGATGAAAAATAACTTTTGAAAGCATTAATAATAATGTTTTCAAAAGTTGCTTTCCATGCTTAAAAAAGTTAAAAAATGTTTAAAAATAAAATCAGTTTATTTTTATTAAAAATAACAATAAAAAGGAATAATTCTAAAAGTTCAAAGAAACTTCAAAATTTTTTAATTATAATTTTATATGAATGCTGATTTTTTAAAAGATGGAAAGAAAAACTGAGATAGGATATTAAAGTAGTTTGGATTACTAATGCAAATGCACCTTTATTCATGTTTAATTTCATTAAAAGATGTAAGAGATATTACAAAACTTTTGCTTCATCAGATAATACTACATAATATATAATATATAGTGATATAAAATGAAAATATCACTTTTACAGATTTAATTTCAAATTTAAAAAATAATTATTGTAATAAAATTTTATCAAAGACATTCAATATATTATTTAAAATTATAGTTATAAAGGTAACTCCTAAGATTCAATAATTTTCATAATACTTTAGCCATATCTCTACCTGAAATAATTAAACAATGCATATTGATTTCTGACAGATTTACAGGCAAATTTCAATATTCCTCAATTCATCTTAAATAAAAATATACAGATAATATCAGATTACTATGACAACCATACTTTATATGTTATTTTTAATTATCAGATTATCCTGCAAATAACCTGCAGTGGTATACACTCTGCAGAAAATTGTTAACAGAAATTACATTTCTGTATAACATGAACTGTCATGTACCTCAATCCTCCACATTTTAGAAAGTATTATCTCAAACACTCCATTTTTTCCTGTTTCTTTTGTTTTACTTCCATTTGCAATTAATTGTAGCATGACCAAGAACTTAAAAAGAAAGAAATATCTCACTTTTTTTCTTCCTTTTGTTTTCAGTTAATCTTTGTGGTGTAGTATGATGGTGCCATTTGTTCTAATGTAGTCTATTGTGCAGTTTAGTAAAATTTATCTCTATGTTACAAACCTTTGTATTGGTGATTACAATTTTACTTTACTCTATTTTGCTTATTTGTTCATTGCCTATCATCTTAATTAACTTTTGTTTTCTTGCCATTGAATAAAAAAATTTACTTACAGTATACAGCAGCTCCTATACAACACAGAATTTATGTTCTGTGTTACAGGAATCTGCATTATTCAAACCACATGTGTTATGTATGAACTGTAAGTGTGGAATAATGGTGAAATAGCCAAAAAGTTAGAAACACATATTATAGATATTGCACTATAAGGAGTTCACTGTGTATTTACTTTCTTCTCTTTTTGTATTAGTTCCTTTTATACCAGTGAACAGCCACTATACAATAAATATATTCAATGAAAAAACTTGAAAAAGCATTATAGCTCTCACTATTAATGTATAAATATTTATATCTATCAAATTTTTGAGATAATCAAAGATTAGAGAATTGAATTGTAGGAGTTCCAATNTTTTTCCGTAAGTTCGTACCACTTCTTGAGGTGTGGTAGTGCGAGCCTGTGATTGGCTCCCCTGCCATGACGTATGTTCCCTCGTCAGGACATGGCGCAGGTTATAAAAAAGAAAGACCACGTGCTAAGAGGACCTTTCTTCGTTTCACCTGGGTTCGTGTCGGGTCGTTGGCAGAGGAAGAAGGTGAAGAACAAAGAAGAAAGAACCATGTGAAAGGAGGACAATTGTGTACTAAAGGAGAGACTTTCAGCAGGTATCAAGATCATCTGCCATGTAAGAATAGTCCAATTATCAAGTTATAAAGTACTAAGCCTAATTGTCGCGTCGGGCAATTTATGTGTGATTGCAGCGATTCCTAATTGTCGCGTCGGCATTTTATGTTAGATCACTCCGTCGTATTCTTGTGTCCAGATCAAAGGGGTGATGAGAGCCCCATCGCGAAACAAAAATCGTGTGTGAACCTCAGATGTGTATCTTCGTGAAATTAAATCTGTTCAGTGTTTTGTCAATTTGTGCTGTCTTTTCTATTCTTAATCTCCACGCTAACGTATTTCGGTACGCTACGGTACTACAAAGGGGAACGCATGAGCAGAGGTTCTCTGCATTCAAACTCATCCTATTGTTCAATCTTATTTAAACATCTTACGAGAAACACATGTGCATACGGTATTCGAAATCTCTTACCATTCAATTTTACATTCGAATGTTAACTGCCAGCCTGTTTTAATTGAAAAAAGTCCAGAAGGGGTTACAGAAACGTTTGTTACTCAAATGTTAATTGTTGATGTGAGTCATATTTTATATTCATCCCAGTGTGTTGTGTAGTTAAGAAGTTATATATGGAGATTTATGTTTCACATGTTTGTTGCTTCTCAGAACAATTTTCAAATCTTTTTCAAAATTGTTCTTTATTTATTTATCAAGTATTTTTATTTGACTATTTGTTATTTATATTTCATTATTTTTATAGAAAATTGGTTTATTTCTTGAATAATTTTAATGCAATAAATGTTAATATCATTATTTTTTAATTAAAATTTATAATTTGAAATTTTTAAATTACCTTGGATCAACTACTAATAATTTTGAAACAAAATCTTTTGCTTCATCAGATAATACTACATAATTATCATGGAAGAAATTGACTTTTCCCTGTTGTACATTTTTCAACGTTTCTCGGTCATTTTCTCCAAGGAATGGTGATGAACCAGTTAATCTGAAATATAATAGATAAAACCCGATGTAAAAACGTCTGTTACAAATAGTTAAATTTTTCTTCATTTAATTTATTTAATAAAATGAATCTTTATGATAACAAAATTAAATAAATCTTATTACTAATATAAACTATTACATAGCATTATACTAATTTAATATTTGTTCAAAATTACACAAAGCATTAATATAGAGCAGCATTATCCAAACAAAAAATAAGAAAATAATTTTCAACATCTAAAATGAAATTAGGCCATTTTAGGAAGACATTTGTTATAGTATATTACATGTTCTAAATTGTTTTCATATTCAAAATAATAATAATAATAATTATTATTTTTTAAAGACAAATCCATTTCTGCTAAATTTAGATTACATATTTACAGAATAAAAAGTTCACTTTTAAATATTTTGCTTGACAATGACAAAAATAAAATTTTTTAATAATTTAAGTTATAAGGGATTAATTGAAATAAGTATACAACAAACATATTTTTTTAATCTATTCATTTTTTTTTTAAATTTTAAGTTACAATTAAACTTAAAATTTAAAAAAAATGAATAGCTTAAAAAAATATGTTTATATAAATATTTCACTTAGCAATACAACAATTTGTAAAAAGCATTTTATCTACATAACGAAATACTGAATGCAAATAATTATTGTTGGAAGGTGTTGGTGACTTTTTTTGCTGAGCTGTTATGGCGACGTTAGTCATGGAATTTTTACAACAGAATATTAAGTGTAGAACTGAAATAAGTAGTTTAAATGTTTCATTAACTCGAATAATAATTTTTTTTGTACTAATGATTGCTGGCATTGAGTTAAATCCCGGACCTTTCCCTCGATCTCCTCCAATACCAAGTCAAGCAGTTATGCAAAAAAGGGGACGAGGGAGACCACGTAGAGAGCATACAAGAAATATAGAAGAAAATAATCAGACAAGCGAAATGTCAGAAGAGGAATATTTAATTGAGGAACACTCCAAGAGTACTACTGATATCTCGAAGTATGCTACAATAAAAGACTTCTTCGAACCGGAAGAAGATTTACTAACAAAGACTATTGAACCTGAATACTCACTTAAATCGATATATGAATTAATCCAAGATAAATTTGATAGTTTGAATTCCGAAATCCGTTCCATAAAAGCTGAAATCAACAAAATGAACGAAGAAAATTTAAAGCTGAAGGAAGAGATGAAAGATATGTGTAAAAAAATACGTTTATTAGAAGAAAGAACAGACTCGTACAGCAAGTTAAAAGGTATGGTGGATTTTGAAGTTGACAAAATGATAAACGATAGAACTAAGAAGAATTTAATTATATTTAATTTTCCATTTAAAACCTCGGAATATGTAGAAGAATTTAAAAAATTTATAAAAGTTAACTTAGAGCTTAATGGTATAGAAATCGAAGGTCTTATTCAAATAGGAAATAGAAGAAATAACCAAGTAATTAAAGTTATGACCGAATCGGTTAAAGACAGAAATCTAATTCTCAATAAATTTTGGACTACAAGACCGAAAATGACGGACGAAAATAAAAAAATAATAATATCAACGGACTTATGTTATAGATCTAGAATCAGGAGAAAATTATTATTAAAAATGATTAAACTGGAGAAATCGGATGATAAGATAAAAATTAGAGATGATTATTTTTTAAAAAATAATATAATGTATACATATGATTTGAATACCAAAGAAATAATTCAGTTAAATCATTTTTTAGAGATAAATATAATACAAGATTAACAAAAATAAATCAAAATTTAAAAACAATACAGAAGAAAAGGAAATTGGCTAATAATATGGAGAATAATAATAAGAAAATGAGTGGAGATAAATTAATAGTCAAAATAAATGATTTGAATGAGAAAAAAGTAGAAACTCCAAGAAGGGTAAAAAATAAAGTGACGATAAACTTCTGGAATATTCAAGGACTGAGAGGGAAATTATTTAAAACCTCAATAAGAGAATTTCTGGATTCAAATGAAATAATTGGACTTTTAGAAACCTGGATTATAAAATTTAGTGAAATGGAAATAAAATATCTAGAACAAGACAATAATATAATAATTAGTAATGCTCAACGAAAAAATAAATTTGGACGTCCATCAGGTGGAATTCTACTACTAATTAAGAAAAGATTTGGTGAAATATTTTTACAATATACAACGGACCATGTTATTGCTGTAATAATAAAACTAGAGAATAAAATAAAAATGAGATGGTCATACACATATATGGGAGTAATAGGAATATATATACCACCTTCTATTGAGAAGAAACCAATTCTAAATGAAGTACAAAAGGTCTTGGATAGATGGTCTAATCTGACACAAATGTGGATAATAGGTGGTGATTTAAATGCACGTATTGGTGAAGTTACTGATACCATATTTTGTCAGACGTTTGAAAATTTAGTCAATAAGAGAATATCCAAAGATAAAGTGTTAAACACAGGGGGAAGAGCACTCTTAGAATTTATTGATAATAACCAACTAATAATTCTAAATGGTAGAATGAGAGGTGACACCCCTGCAGAAATTACTTTTGTCTCTCCAAGTGGGAAATCTATAGTAGATTACATTATCTGCTCAGAAGAAATGATAAATTGTTGTAACTATTTGAAGGTTCTAGAAAACGACATTGCAGATCATTTTCCTATTCAGTTAGAGTTAACAATATATGAGAAAATAAGTAATAATATATATAATTGTGAACAGAGTCATTCTATTAATCTGGAATTAAGACCATCATATAATAAACAAAAAATCTTGAATAAATTTGATGATATGATTGGAGAGATGTTATCATTGGAAAAAGAAAATGATCCAATAGAAAATTATCGGAGTATTATAACAAAATTAGAGGAATATAGATACAAAAATTGTATACAACAAAATGGTAAAATATTCAAATGTGAATGGTACGATAGTACATGTTATGGCTATAAAATTAAAAAACAAAAGTGTTTACAAATCTTTAGAAGAACAAATACCAGTAAAGCACTAATGAATTATTTAAAATATAAAAAAATGTATAACAATCTAATTAAAGCCAAGAAAAAATTATATTTTTCAAAAATCAGTAAGAAACTATCAGAAGCTAATGATTCGAGAGTTTTCTGGAAAATAATTAATAGTTTTCGTAAAAGAAAGTTAGGATTGGAAAAACAGACTAAAGTAGAATATAACATTTGGCTTAAATACTACAATAAATTCTCTGAGAACTATCAGAAAAATGTTTGTAAAAAATATATAGGAACTAAAACAAGACCAGAAATTCAGCAAGATGAGATAATCAAGATAGAAGAAGTACAGGATTGTATCAAAAATCTTAAAGACAAATCAACTCCAGGATCGGACATAATACCAAATTCAATCATTAAAATGTTGCCAATAGAAATCATAAGATATTTAACTAGACAATTTAATCAATTCTATAGTAATAGTATAATACCGGAAAAATGGAACGAAGTTATTTTTACTATGATATTTAAACAAGGGAACAAACAAGAACCAACCAATTACAGACCAATAGCCCTTCTGTCCTGTCTACGTAAAGTATTTACTGGAGTATTAGCTGACAAATTTAATTACTGGACAGCGGCGAATAATTATAGAAATAATACACAATTTGCATTTGTAGAAGGGGGAGGTACTCAGACAGCCCTCTTTGTATTGCTGTCATTAATTCAAATCCAGTTGCTCAAAAAAAGACATAAAGTGTTTGCCCTGTTTTTGGATCTTGAAAAAGCATACGATATGATTAGTATTACCGATCTACAGAGTAAAATGAAGAGATACAAGGCAAAAGAACTCTTGATAAATATGATAGGATTGTTATTCGGAAAATACAAAACAATTATCAAACAGGATACTAATATCTGGACACCATTCATTACTTACAGAGGTTTACTACAAGGTGATCCGTTATCCCCATATCTTTTCAATTTTTACCTATTTGATCTAAATGAATGCTTTAAAAGAGATGAAGATGGGTTTCAAATTGAAAATCAGATAATACATACTATATCGTATGCCGATGACATTGTGTTGATAGCTCCTACAGCAGCTGCTCTCCGTAGAAAAATCCAACAAATCTGTGAGTATTTAGAAAAGCTAAGAGTTAAAATAAATTCCAAAAAATCAACAATTATGATATTTAGAAATGGAAGTAACGTATCCAAAAAGCACATGTCTTTCTTCATTAATAAAGAAGAAGTGAAGATAGTGAAGGAAATTAAATTTTTAGGAGTTACATTCACACCTAATCTCTCGTTCGAAAAACATTATAAAAATTCACTAAGTAAAGCAAAAATTGCAATAAATAATTTAATTGGTCTATTCTGCAAGGCAAAAATAAAGAACATACGTATACATTTTCAGCTTTTTAATTCGATTGTGATGAACTCAATGGGATATGCTGCCCCAATTTGGAGCATGGAAAAATTTAATGACTTTGAGAAAATACAGAATATATTCATACGTAAGATATTCCAGCTAGAATATAATATCCCGGGTAGTGCCTTAAGATTAGAAACAAATAGATTCAGAATAAATACTATACTAATAAAAAGATATTTAAAGTTTTTACTCAAAATTATTAAGGCTGAAGATATAACAACAAAATTGCTGTTCTTACTATATCACAAATCAAGGGAAACGGACTTAAGACGAAGTTGGATAATTCAGTTATCGAAGATAGTAAATAAATATGGATTTTCTATTAAACTGTTTATGGATCATACGTATGATATGGAGCAGTATAGTAAAGAAATAATACACAGAGTTATGGAATACTCTATTATCCAAGACGTTGAAGATATACAAAAACGAGAAAATACAAGCTGGTATACAACAATTCTAAATTATCCAGTAAATAACAACTATATATTGACAAATATAGCTTTCAATATTAAAAAGTTTTTTATGCAGATTAGGTTAAATAAAAATGGAATAATTATAAATGACAAATATATAGATTATACCCAATCTAAATGTCCAAATTGTACAAAAAATTTATCTAAAATTCATATTTTATGTGAAAATTGTAACGAAAAGGATAAACTACAAAGACTCCAGATTGAACCACTGGCTAAATGTACTAGTGAGCTGGAAATGTACAAGACATTAGATAGAGCTGATATTAACACGATTTATATGATATATAACTATGTTAAACAACTAATTAAATAATAATTATGACAAAATATTAATATAATTATATAGATAAGTATATGGTAAATACTAATATTGTTAAAAAATTATTATATGAGATATTAATATGCGTTTCATCAAAATAAAATGCCTTTGTAACAGGCGAAAGCCTTCTACGCCAATAAAGATTACTTACTTAAAAAAAAAAAAATAATAATTATTGTTTCTTCTACATATAATATATTAAATATAAAAAATATAAAAATATTTGTTTTCTGAAGATGAAAAATAACTTTTGAAAGCATTAATAATAATGTTTTCAAAAGTTGCTTTCCATGCTTAAAAAAGTTAAAAAATGTTTAAAAATAAAATCAGTTTATTTTTATTAAAAATAACAATAAAAAGGAATAATTCTAAAAGTTCAAAGAAACTTCAAAATTTTTTAATTATAATTTTATATGAATGCTGATTTTTTAAAAGATGGAAAGAAAAACTGAGATAGGATATTAAAGTAGTTTGGATTACTAATGCAAATGCACCTTTATTCATGTTTAATTTCATTAAAAGATGTAAGAGATATTACAAAACTTTTGCTTCATCAGATAATACTACATAATATATAATATATAGTGATATAAAATGAAAATATCACTTTTACAGATTTAATTTCAAATTTAAAAAATAATTATTGTAATAAAATTTTATCAAAGACATTCAATATATTATTTAAAATTATAGTTATAAAGGTAACTCCTAAGATTCAATAATTTTCATAATACTTTAGCCATATCTCTACCTGAAATAATTAAACAATGCATATTGATTTCTGACAGATTTACAGGCAAATTTCAATATTCCTCAATTCATCTTAAATAAAAATATACAGATAATATCAGATTACTATGACAACCATACTTTATATGTTATTTTTAATTATCAGATTATCCTGCAAATAACCTGCAGTGGTATACACTCTGCAGAAAATTGTTAACAGAAATTACATTTCTGTATAACATGAACTGTCATGTACCTCAATCCTCCACATTTTAGAAAGTATTATCTCAAACACTCCATTTTTTCCTGTTTCTTTTGTTTTACTTCCATTTGCAATTAATTGTAGCATGACCAAGAACTTAAAAAGAAAGAAATATCTCACTTTTTTTCTTCCTTTTGTTTTCAGTTAATCTTTGTGGTGTAGTATGATGGTGCCATTTGTTCTAATGTAGTCTATTGTGCAGTTTAGTAAAATTTATCTCTATGTTACAAACCTTTGTATTGGTGATTACAATTTTACTTTACTCTATTTTGCTTATTTGTTCATTGCCTATCATCTTAATTAACTTTTGTTTTCTTGCCATTGAATAAAAAAATTTACTTACAGTATACAGCAGCTCCTATACAACACAGAATTTATGTTCTGTGTTACAGGAATCTGCATTATTCAAACCACATGTGTTATGTATGAACTGTAAGTGTGGAATAATGGTGAAATAGCCAAAAAGTTAGAAACACATATTATAGATATTGCACTATAAGGAGTTCACTGTGTATTTACTTTCTTCTCTTTTTGTATTAGTTCCTTTTATACCAGTGAACAGCCACTATACAATAAATATATTCAATGAAAAAACTTGAAAAAGCATTATAGCTCTCACTATTAATGTATAAATATTTATATCTATCAAATTTTTGAGATAATCAAAGATTAGAGAATTGAATTGTAGGAGTTCCAATATAAAGACTTATAATAATAAAAAATAAACATAAATGACTTACAGTAAATATGTAATAATTCCAATGCTCCTAAAAAAATAATTTAGATATATTATAATTAATTAAATTTATTTAACAAATATTAATGAAAATAAATAAATATTTTAAACATACCACATATCTGAAGCTAATGATACTGGCTGTTTGTTTGCTATTTCAGGAGCTACATATTCTGGATGACCATATAATTGAATAAATTCTCTGCCAGGATTAAGACGAGTAGCCAAACCAAAGTCACATATTCTTAAATTGTCACTGTTCACTCGAGTTATAAGTAAATCACCTATCTAAATTTTAAATATTATTTACAATTTGTAAATTAAAAAATTTAATTCTATCTTTTTTTCTTTTCAATAATTATAACTGTAAATATTTAAAATAAATTAATTTCAAAATTCAAGATTTTTCTTTTGTTTTAAAATAATAAGAAAGTAGCTGAAGTTTTATCAAAAAATTTAAACACATTTTTACATTTAATAAAAAAATATTTTTTATTAACTAGCTAACTATATTTTTATGACTTATGAACTTATTACCTTTTACTACTTATTGAAATGTTTTTAGCTCCTAAAGTCTAAAATTTACATGATAACATATTTCTGTTTATATATGGATTTATAGAGAATATTTCAGAAAACTTTTTTGATCTGCATCATAATTTTTTATTTCACTACAAAATTGCTTCTAATTTTAGAGTTTAAGATAATATACATATATCATATTACATGTCAAAATTAAAACACTTACTGTTAGTCCAAGATGACCAATAAATTTGCTATGCATATGTTCAACTCCTTCTAAAACTTGTTTAATGTAATGAGCTATATCACTTTCTGTTAGTTTTTCTCTTTGGGTAAGATTATTTAGCAATTCACCTCCACCACATCTGTATTTAGTTAAGATAAAAGTTTACTTGAATAGAAATTCTACTTATAAATATTATTTCAATATAATAAAAAAATAAATGAAAAACATCATCACAATGCAGGGCTGCAAGTTTTAATCATATTTTTAATTTATTTCATTTAAAATATATGATTTCCATCTCAAATTAGTACTGTAGTGTCTTGTCCCTGTACATCATACTTTTCCATTAGCAATGGAGTTCTCTATTAACTGCTTTTAGGGGAAAAGTTTTGAATTGAAATAATGTAACTTTCAGTTTGCATCAGAAGTTCTTATATAGTTAATTGGGGACTCCAGCCGTAAGGTTTCCATATCTGGTCTCAGATTTTATCTATCCAACTCTGTTCTCAAAATTAAGGAAAGTTGGACTGACAGACGGACGACAATGGGAATTTATGGGTCTACAGTTTTTTAAAATTGACGCCCAAATATGAAAATTTATTACTTATGAACAAAGTTTAATCATTGATCATTCATATCAATATCTTTTATATAGGTTTTCTCAAAACTATGAAAGAATTACTTTATAACTTCTACAATTTTGTTCAACTGAACATTAGACAAAATATTGAACTGAATGAAATATATGAAATGAATTAAGTAATATGATAAAATTTAGTGAATTTAATTTTCAAAATCTATATTTAACTTGCATTGTTATGTAAATAGAAATTTTTATATTAATTATTATAAACACTATAAGCATGTGGTTGAGATTAAGGGATAGTCTCAATTTATTCTTAACCACTTACTATTGAGACCTTAATGAATAATTGTTGGTTTTGGAAAGATGATTTAGTCAATAACACATTTATTTTTTACAATATGCATTTCAGGCAAATTACTAGTTTGGCCAAAGTATATAAAGAAAATATACTGTATTTACCGATTATTTGATAGAGCAATAGTATTAATGATATACAGGGGCTGATCCAAAGAGTACTACAGAGACTTAAGCCCTCTTACTTGAGACAAAAAATTAAAATTAATTTATTTGAGCATTTTTTCAAAATATTTATGATGCAGATATGGTTATCAGACCATCTGCAATACAGTCATCAAGCATATGTTAATACAATAAAAGGATCTTACTAATTATTAAAATATTTGAATGTTTAATTTTTGAGCTCAGGTTTTCCTAGATCCACTAATGATGATATAAGAATGGAAAACAAAAAGTAAAATTATGTGTTAATGAATTTTAACATTTTCAAATATATTATAAGTACAGTTGACCCCCCTATAACACGGATTCATATAATGCGGATTCGTATATTGCAGTGAAAAAATTGCGAACGTATTCGTATAAAGACACTAAAGGAGACTCGTAAAATGCGGTAAAACGTCATCACCGACTTGTGTTGCAACAGGATTGGTCGAATATGGACCAATAGTGGACAAGCAGCCAAACTACTTACACACTACAGAGAGTTTAGGTGGTGTTGAGTTTACTGTTGTCTTTACAGTATATAAATTAGGTACTGTAAGTCTAACTACAGTACAATACAGTACTGTAATTTTATACATTTCTTGTGAAAAAAACATTTCTTATTCAACAGCCATAAAAATTATTTCTATTAATGATGTCTCCAAAGTTCAACGAATTTTTTGCAGAAAAATAACTTATCAGAAAACGTGCCCGCCATTTAGTGCACTGTTCTGCGACGAAAATAAGCTTAAGCAATGGCATCATTGAATGGTGCACACTCGGTAAGTAATCCTACAATTTTTTGTTTATAGCATAGTTTATACAGATTATTCCCAAAAAATTATACGTGTTTTGGAAATGTTGAGTCAAATTAGTCTAGAATCGATTAATTTTATGGAAGAAAACCTTTCAAACAGCCATAGTCCGTAAACTGCACATGTCCGGGCTGTGATTGGCTCATGTATTTAAGGATTCCTACAACTTGAAATTCTTTTAAAGTGGAACGTATCTACTGTGTTATAGGGGGGGTCGACTGTATATTATAGAGCTCCTAAGACATGAAAAAGTGGAGAGAATCAAATGCCATTAACAATCTCCTAGATGATTTTGTTACTTTGGATAAGGGAGCAGTCCATATAAAGAAGCATAATGTAGCAATCTCAAGGATGCTTTCTTAAGTGGATTTGATTGTACAGTACCATGAAAAAAAATTCAAATTGCTGGATTGATTATGAAGAAAAAATTCAGCTGCTATGGCTATGTTCATTTATGAAAAAAGTAAAAGATACATTAAAAAAAAAAAAAAAGACAGAAATGCATTAGCTAAATTTCTTTGTGTAAAAACATGTTTTTGTTTTCTAATCACATATCTTTTCAATCCCACAACCTTATTTTTTAAACCTATTTTTCCTTTCCATATTTGCAACAGTTTTGCAAATTGTATCTCCTGTAAATAAAGAACTTCTACTCTAGTGGATATCAGGGAATCTTGTGACACCTCTAAAAGTTTGTTGTGACATTCTGAGATATCATAAAAAACTAAGTTAAAAACCACTAAATTAAACATCTTCGATTATTCAATTAGTTAATAACTAAATGTTTCTTATTTTCATTTGTATTTATACAAAAGCTTTTAAATGGTTTTAGAAAGTATGCATTTACAACGTAGTTAGTTCAAAGGATACAAGTCAGTGATGAGTGTAAGAGCTGATTTACTTTCAAATGCATCCCATAAACGTACTAATCTTGGATGAGAAAGATGATTCATAATATCCATTTCAGCATCAATAAAACTTCTAATCTTACCAGTTCCATGCATCATTTTTGCTGCAAAACTTTTTCCACTATTTCTTTCAACTGCATGATATATAATACCTTGGGTTCCCCTAAAATAAAGGAAAACAAAAAAGTTAAAAATCATTATAATTTGAATATTCTGATCCTGTAAAAGAATTTAATTGAAGAATGAAAAATTTCAAGTTTATTTATTGATCACTTCAAAAATAGTCATTATTCTAAAATTCATTATTGATCATCTTCCAAAAATTGGATGTACAGAAATTTGCCTTGTTTATGATAACTAACAACTCTTTCACAACAAATATACACTACGAAAAATTTTAATCTTGTAAAAGAATTTTATCTGTGAAATGAAATTTGAATTTTATAAGTTTTTAAAACTTTTCTTCTATATACTAGTTATTTTAAATAAAGCAATTATAATAATTATTTAACATACAACAGTTATATGATTCATTTGNGAAATTTAATACTTAGTAAATTTTGCAGCACAAGACCGAAAATGACGGACGAAAGTAAAAAAATAATAATATCAACGGACTTATAGATCTATGATTAGGAAAAAATTATTATTAATAACGATCAAACTAGAGAAATCGAATGACAACAGGATAAAAATTAGAGATGACTATTTTTTAAAAAATAATATAATGTATACTTATGATTTGAATAATAGAGAAATAATTCAGTTAAATCATTTTTTAGAGACAAATATAATACAAGATCAGTTAAAATAAACCAAAATTTAAAAACAACGCAGGAAAAAGGAGATTGGCTAAAAATATGGAAAATAAATATAGAAAAACGAGTGGAGATAAGCGGATAGTTATAGATAATGAACTGAAGGAGAAAAAGGTAGAAATTCCAAAAAAAGAAAAAAATAATGTGATGATAAGTTTTTGGAATATTCAAGGATTAAGAGGAAAAATATTCAAAACCTCGATGAGAAAATTTCTGGAGTCAAACGAAATTATTGGATTCTTAGAAACCTGGATTATAAAATTAAGTGAAATGGAAATAAAATATCTAGAAAAAGACAATAACGTAATAATTAGTAATGCTCAACGCAAAAATAAGTTTGGACGTGCATCATGTGGAATTCTGTTATTGATAAAGAAAAAATTAGGTGAAATATTTCTACAATATATAACAGATTATGCTATTGCTGTTATAATAAAATTAGATAACAATATAAAAATGAGATGGTCTTATACATATTTGGGAGTAATAGGAATATATATACCACCTTCTATGGAGAAGAAACCAATTCTAAATGAGGTGCAAAAAGTTTTGGATAGATGGTCCAACCTCACTCAAATGTGGATAATAGGAGGTGATCTAAATGCACGTATTGGCGAAGTTACCGATACCATATTCTACAGACATTTGATAACTTAGTCAATAACAGATTATCTAAAGATAAAGTGTTAAACACAGGAGGAAAAATACTTCTAGATTTTATTAACAATAACCAACTAATAATTCTGAATGGCAGGATGAGGGGTGATACCCCTGCAGAAATTACTTTTGTTTCCCCAAGTGGGAAATCCATAGTGGATTATATTATTTGTTCAGAAGAAGTGATAAATTGTTGTAATTGTTTAAACGTTCTAGACAACGACCTTGCAGATCACTTTCCAGTTCAGTTGGAGTTAATAAAATATCAAAAATAAGTAATAAGACATATAATTGTGAACAGAATTATTCTATTAATCTAGAATTAAGACCGTCATATAATAAACGAAAATTGTTAAATGAGTTTGAATATATGATTGAGGAGATGTTAACCTTGGAAAAAGAAAATGAACCAATAGAAAATTACCTGAATATTATAACTAAACTAGAGGAATATAGATACAAGAATTGTACACAACAAAATAGAAAAATATTTAAATGTGAATGGTATAATAGCACGTGTTATGACTACAAAATTAAAAAACAAAAGAGTTTACAAGTCTTTAGAAGAACAAACACCAGTAAAGCACTAATGAATTATCTAAAGTATAAAAAAATGTATAACAATTTAATCAAAGCTAAGAAAAAATTATTCTTTTCAAAAATCAGCAAGAAATTATCAGAAGCTAAAGATTCGAGAGTCTTCTGGAAAATAATTAACAATTTTCGTAAAAGAAAGTTAAGATAGAATACACAGACTAGAGTTGAATACAATGTTTGGCTTAAATATTACAATAAATTCTCAGAGAATTATCAGAAAAATGTTGGTAAAAAATATATGGGAACCAAGACAAGAC